AATTGACACCTGAGCACACACTCGGGCGAGGGGTCATCTCAATAGATGTTTTCTGCAAAATGTTGAATATGTGTACGTATAGTATACGTATCGGTTATGTAAGGGATCATTTGTGTATGTGTGTTTGTTTTGAAATAAACATACGAATTACTGTACATTGGAAAGAGTCCAATCACTTGTGTTATCTTATCGATTGATTGTAGAAATGTGCAACGTTTTAATAAATGTTTTGCATGTCAACAGTATATTTCATTGAAAACATATGAATGTAATTCGGTCAGTTTAATCTAGTTGTGAACATTGGCCAAAGATTTCACGAAGTCACTGGTGTAGCTTCTTTAGAATATGTATATTTTTCGTTTCATAAAGTTTGTAGACCGCCCGTCTAAGCACTCCCTTGTCAAAATTGTCAAAGATGGTTTTACGTCCCGGTTTTGCATTTGAGACGGTCCCTGTCTTGTTTGATTTGTTTACAATATTGTAAACTTGTTGGTAAGACATGCCAACAACTGTACAAGTTCTGTAATAAACCCTTTCTAAACTAATGCAAGGTTTACCTCTGTCTTTTTTAAGCAGAAAAAACCTATAAACCTTTGCAACAATCGACTGCAAATCGTTGGCCATAGTGGACGCTGTGATAAAGATGTGCATGCATGACGGGAAACTTATTTATCAAGACTTAATATTTATAATAATATTTCTTCGATAAAGAAACGATCATTAAGTAAAGTAACACAAACATTGAATATTTATTTGTTTAGGAAAAACGTTTATTCATATTTTTACACCACCTGTATTCAGTACTTTAGTGATGTTTTTGTTAACATTTAACTTCATCTTAAACTTTCATTACTTTATAAGTTTGATTTGATAATTTGCGGTGGGGATTTTGTCACCTTAGTGACAATGCTTGTTGTAGAAGAAAAATGGCGTCAACGTCATCTGGTGAATACAGATGGTAAATAAATTCAGTGCCATTACGGTGAGTGTTCCGACGGTTGGCATATCCTTGGCCAGCAGCCAAAGCATTGGTCATGAAATGATCTGAGAGAAATCCACCACTTTGACTAGTTTGTGATTCCAGAAAACCAAAGCCATTTTCTTGGCAACCTTGATAGTTGTTTAGCCTCTGACTGATGAGTCAATTTGATCAGCAGGTACATCTAGTTATTTAGAAGACTGCAAGAATGTGCTGTCTGGTTGTGTACTTGCTTCAAATTCAACTTGTTTGAATGGATTTCTTTTGCGTAATAAATTAACACTGTTTCGTACGAAGTTTAGGGAGACAGCAATGATAATCTATCTTCGTATGAGCGGCAAATCGACTTGAGTTATTACGCAAATTTGTATATGTGTGTATGTATATGTGTTGGTGTACGTGTGTGTCTTGTGTATGAGTGCATACATAAACCTGTATGTATTGATTAACGCTACTCCAAACACGGCTTCCCCGGTGTATATCATTGACACACGCCCTTGCAGGATCTACCTACAGAGTCATGCCTGGCTACACCCTCACGACTCCAACTGCTACGCTGACGACGCCCATGGTAACCATGTGCAGCATCTGGTGTCAGCAGAGCCCCGGATGTACAGCCTTCAGCTTCAACAAGGCACTGCTAGTGAACAACTGTAAGATCGGTGCAAGTCAGGAAACCACGTCAAGCTCAGGGTGGACTGCCAACATCAAAGGCTCAGTCATGGAGATGCGTAGAGCTGGGTATTCATGCTCGTATGAAGGAATTTAATGTAAATAATTGTGATTAGAACCTTTTTTGCTCTCATGTATCATTTTGTTACAACGAGACTTCATTTTACACATGTTCACTAGAGAACATATTTTTGTCCAAGAGGTCTGCCTTTGTTTTTGGTATGTTAAGATTTACCCTCAACATTGTCAAAGGTATAGAGATTCTATTACTATATTTAACTAATAGACCTACTGGAGTAGACATGTGTTACTGTGGGTAATACGTCCAACGCGTGTTTATGCTAAAAGCACAATGGTTTAGGTTAATAGATAATATACAGTTAATATATATCACAGGCAACTCATGGTTCCGAAAACCTTGCTGAGAAGACGATGGATGATTATTTACTGAATAGGCATCTATTGACACGTAATTGAACTGAACACAAAATAGGAACATTTAGAACATTGAACCACTAAATTAATTTCATTGTTTTGTATCACAGTAGGCTAAAGGTTTTTCAGTGAATTCAGTAGGGTTATCAACGTATGCATGGTGTGGGTAAACTACTCCAGCTACAAAAGGGGTTCCAATCATGCCATATTAAACAAAGTGTCATCGAAAGGGCTGCAACGTTTAACACTGATGTTTTGACAACGTCTTCATATATACTATTCCAAAAAAGAAACGCATAACCCAGAAATCTCTGTGCTCTCACACGTAGCAGTACGAGCACGCAAATGTAGTACCCGGATGCACCAGTGGTGACTCGAGGTCTGCCTGTACAGGCACGGTCATTTGTTATACCTGTTTGGTTGTAACGAGCTGCAAGCAGTGATATCGTGCTCAGACTAACATTCAAACGCCTTGCAACAGAAGATTGGTAATCTCCAGCGTGCATTCTTTGAATGGCGATGTTCTGTGTCGCAGCGTCAAGACTTGGGGTAGTGATTTGACCTTGAAACTCCTTTGAAAAAGGATGCCGATTTCCGAAAGTATTCTGGATTTCTATAGCCAGACAGTGCATGTTCTTTGCTGCACAATTTCAACTGGAAGGTGATTTCGTCGCGTTGTGGCGATGCCTTTCTAATTTCTTGTAAGAAATCTCATCAAAATCAACATTTTCACTTGTGCAATTGTGTAAAGTCATGTTATCAACACTTTTGTTACATAATTTCACGATTGTTTGAACACAATAGGTAATTAACGCCCTTGCGTTTCTTTTTGGGATAGTATGTCTAATTTATTTTCCATATCGAATTCTTAATGTTCAAAAGAGTGTTTGTTTGAAGCTGACAACACGACCTCACCCAGCTTTTGATTTAAAACGACTGTATAAACCCTAGACAAAACAGAATGGTTATTTATTTCGCTAGTCTAGAACATACAAACCATAACTTTGACGCGTTTGTGTCTTCGTTCCGCTTATTTGACCTTCTGCCTGTTTCTATGTAATTCGTATGATGATAAGGAATATATATGTGTATCCAATGATCTTAATGGTAGGCTTTTGTTGTTTTCTAACGAGTTTCAGCACTCTTTTAGTGACGTGATGCACTGTTGATCTTTTTGACGAGAAGCTTTTCACAAAGACTTTGTAATGATGTGTTTTTTTATTAATGTACATTGTGATATTGAAACTGTTGATTTTAGTAGCCTCTCATTTATTGATGCCATGTACTCATGCTCATAATGGTTGTCGCCCCCTCTTTGATTACTAAGTGTTTGTGTTTAACGGCTGTTCAGTTTTCATTTGTTAATCCTGTCATTTTGATTAATGACTTTTTTAAAACTCAGTTATGTTACTAACATTAAATATTTTTTTAAAGAACTTTGTATGGCTACGATTTTAGTAAAAGACCACCCAAAGATATGCTCCCCTCAAAACTACTAACTTTTACACGTGAGACTGACTTGTGAATAAGCTAGTTTTATTCAATACAAAATTTGTTGCAGATTTGAATATTGAGGGTAAATGTCTCAGAACATTCAGTTGTCAGGAAAATGATAGTCAATAGCGAGTAAGCGAACCCTGTCGTCCCTTGTGTCAGTTTTTCGGGGTCTACCTGTAGACATTTTTGGTACTAATGATTGACGATTTCGGTGCATCTTTTTATCCTCTGTACACTTCTAACGTATACGTGCAACTCACGACTTATTGCACGGTTGTTCACGCCAGCTCTTGACATTCCTACAATCTGGTTACTTAATGCAAGGTACAATGGTGCTGGCATTGTATTTTGTATAACATTGTTCGTTACAAATTGAAAGAAGGTGTGCACTCAAGCTCAACACAAATGACAATGAAACTGAACAGTAGGCACGTTTTTCTACATGCTAGAATAATGCTGCATGCTTTTTTCATGCTTCACTATAATCCACCTGTGGAGACGCGTTTGGACACACATTTTCACCAGACATTCACAAAATTTCAGTTCGATACAAAATAGTGCATGAATAAGAGAAAATATGGTCATCTACAGGGGGCTGACAACCATTATGAGCCTGAGTATATAAAAAGATGGAATGGTTCTCACTGGACAAGAAGCCATAAGCCACAACATGACATTAAAAGTTCTATGTTGACTTGTTTAAGACAATGTTGTCGTGCTTGTCGTTGTCAACGTACTTGCAACATACAACAAGTTTCAACCCGTAACCATTCTTGGCATGATTATATCTACGAACTCTCTGATTAACGAAATGCATACACAGAAGGATTGGTCTTTTTTTGAAACACCATTTTTGGGACGTGACTTCAGTAACCTACGACGTGTTGTAAATATTTGTTTGAATGTCTGATTCGGAAATTGAAGTACAGTAGCTCACTCTTGCACAGTAATATAGCCGAGTTGTGTTTGTGATTTGTGTCACCTGTTGGTTTTTAGTTGGACTGTTATGGTTGTTGGTTGGTTGGTTTGTTGTTTAACGTCACACTCAGCAATATGCCAGCTATATGGCGGCGGTCTGTAAATACTCAAGCCTAGACCAGACACTCCAGTGATCAGTATCATGAGCATGATTCCACGCAGTTGGTATACGATGACATGTGTCCACCAAGTAAGAAAGCCTGACCACCCGATCCCGTTAGTCGCCTCTTACAACAAGCATGGATTACTGAAGACCACTTCTAACACGGATCTTCACGGGCGGATTTGTTATGGAAATGTTATGTTGTTAGGATTACGATGCGTTGTACGTTCTCCTACGCTTGTTACAGACGGAGCGACGGACAAAAGACAGACGAAGCCTTATGGCTAAAGCTCATTTCATGTTCAGATGAACTTTAGATATCAATCAACAAGGGCATCTGGTATTTAAATTTATTGACATAAAACTCCGACATGGAAGCATAAGCAAATGACATATGAATTTCGTCAGGTCATACATATGTAAAAACAATTGAACTATTATATATTGACAATTATATTCTGCCACTGCATGAGAAAACTGTTTTACATGTGTGCATTTTCCGCGCTATGGATACCAAGATTCACAAAACTTTCTTTGGGCAGTTTCAAGGTATGTGTATCCTTAAGTACGACAAAGCTCTCAATGTATAGTCCTTGTTTCAAAGAATAATTCCATTCACAAACCACTAGTTGAAGTAATCAATAATATACATGTCCAAACAAAAGTGGTGACAGTGTGCGTGTGCGTTTTGTGTGATATTGTTAATATATATGTACATATTATGCATTGAGTTGTGTATTGACTTATAGAAGACGCTTTTGTTAGGATTAGGGATCTTCCATTGTGTTTAGCTGGTAATAGAATAACATTGTTCCATGATCGCACCGTAATCAAGCTTACATAACCCAACGTATCACAGATACATGAACATAAGAAGGTCTGTGTAAATAACGAAAAATGATGAATCTGGTTCTCGACCGTTGGAGCGCATGTTGTAATATCACGATCAACTGATTCGATATTACAGCCAGATATCGGACGTACAGTCCCCGCCTGGGTACCGAATTTCGTGGGCGAATACTGGTCCTGCAGGTTCCAGCCCGTAGTCGACTGCAAAGTCCGGGTTCAGTTTCAGTCCTCCGTTGACTGTATCCACGTCAATCATCAGGAACATTGTTCCCGCTCTGAAACAGACCACAAAAAATGAATATTTCAGTTAGTTTAGGAATCTTATGTTATGAACGATACCAGTAGAGAACGGCTTTACGAAACACGGCTTTCAACATGGAAGAACCATTTTAAAAGGGGTTAGAACACGGCAGTTTCACTGGTGGCTCCTTCGTAATCAGGCCAGAATATTTGTGGTTTCAGGCGTTAGAGCGTAAACGATTACGGCGGGCAACGTTTCTCAGTGTTGGGGTAATCCTTTGGCGACTAATAATGGCAATATCAAGATTTTATGTCAGTGTTGACAGGCGAGGTCCAGCGACTGTCGTAGCGTAAAGGCGATTACGGCGGGCAACGCTTTTATCTCAGTGTTTCAATAGCTTTCTGGCGACTAATAATGGCCATATCCAAGATTTTATCTCAGTGTTTCAATAGCTTTCTGGCGACTAATAATGGCCATCATATCCAAGATTTTATCTCAGTGTTTCAATAGCTTTCTGGCGACTAATAATGAGGACAAGAACTTGTTACATTAACGCGAAAGGTGAAACCGTCTCATAGTTAGACGTATATATGTGGAGTTAGTCACAAAAAAATATCCAAACGGTTGTGTGACAACAGGGACGGCTATCCAAGTGTCAAGTTCTTCTGCTGTATTCTGCTGTGAGGTGAAATTGTGTTTAACGTCGTGCTTGAGAATATTTCGCTCATATGACGACGTGCATGCGTGTGTATGTGTATGTGCGGCTGCTTGTACTAGCCCAGACTGAAGCTGGTTTTATAGTGCTAGCCCACTGAGATACCATACCGACGTGAAGCATGAATACCCCACTCAGACACATTATACTGACTCCGAACCGACCAGTCCTTGTTGTACCCATTAATGCCGAGGGCCAGGCAGGGACCAACAAGTACCATATTTTAACGTCTTTTGGTATGACGCGGTCGGGAATGATATTGTTTGAATAGTGTTGACTGTAGGGTGTGGTAATTTTTGCTTCTGTATATTAAATTGTTTATCATTAGGTGACACTTACAATATTTCAAAGTTGTGTGTGTGTGTGTTTTATGTCATATCTTTGCGAAAAAAACATTGTATTCATTTTGATGTTTGACATTTCCTTTAATATACACGCTTCTAGAAATAAATGTGTAGTGCGTACTATTTGCTTTTGTTTTGTATTCAACTTTTGATACAGCGCGTGAACGAATGCCAGTTATGCGATTAGGATGGCTTGGATTTTATAGTGTTGTTCACTATACCTACTTGATCATATTGGGGTAGAACTGTTTGTCGCTATACATACTTGATCATATTGGGGTAGAACTGTTTGTCGCTATACATACTTGATCATATTGGGGTAGAACTGTTTGTCGCTATACATACTTGATCATATTGGGGTAGAACTGTTTGTCGCTATACCTACTTGATCATATTGGGGTAGAACTGTTTGTCGCTATACATACTACTTTGATCATATTGGGGTACTGTTTGATCATATTGGGGGGGTAGAACTGTTTGTCGCTATACATACTTGATCATATTGGGGTAGAACTGTTTGTCGCTATACATACTTGATCATATTGGGGTAGAACTGTTTGTCGCTATACATACTTGATCATATTGGGGTAGAACTGTTTGTCGCTATACATACTTGATCATATTGGGGTAGAACTGTTTGTCGCTATACATACTTGATCATATTTTGTCGCTATACATACTTGATCATATTAGGTAGAACTGTTTGTCGCTATACATACTTGATCATATTGATCATACATATTGATCATATTGGGGTAGAACTGTTTGTCGCTATACATACTTGATCATATTGGGGTAGAACTGTTTGTCGCTATACATACTTGATCATATTGGGGTAGAACTGTTTGTCGCTATACATACTTGATCATATTGGGGTAGAACTGTTTGTCGCTATACATACTTGATCATATTGGGGTAGAACTGTTTGTCGCTATACCCATACTTGATCATATTGGGGTAGAACTGTTTGTCGCCTCCATCATATTGGTAGAACTGTTTGTCGCTATACCTACTACTGTTTGTCGCTATACATACTTGATCATGATCATACTTGATCATATTGGGGTAGAACTGTTTGTCGCTATACAAGCTTGATCATATTGGGGTAGAACTGTTTGTCGCTATACCTACTTGATCATATTGGGGTAGAACTGTTTGTCGATCAAGATGATTGCTCTGATATTGCGACGTCATTGTCATGTGCGTGTGCATCCCACTAGACTAAGTTTCTGCGGTCCTCCCTCCACTGTGGTTGCCCCTGAAGACAACGACGCAATCAGCCATCGATGCAAGCTCAATCTTATATGTTGTTTTTGTGATCGAATTTGACATCAAGATGATTGCTCTGATATTGCGACGTGCAATGCATGCGTGTCATCCCACTGGTTTTACTGTGGTTTACGATCGTCGATCGAAAAGATTACTGTCCATGGCTCTGACATCAGCATGAAAGATTCAGGATTGCTTATCTTTACAAGAACGTGACGAGCTGATAAACGTTTTCTTGTATTAGATAGTTAAAACAAATGTCAGTGACACTGGAAAAATCCACATAAACTTAGGATCTACATTTGTGTGTGTGTAGGGGGCGCTGTGTGTGTGTGTGTGGCTTGCGTTTGTGTGTAGGATGGGCGCGCCTGTTTTTATACTAGTTCACGCTGCCAAAAACATTTCCGCAGATTTTGAAAATACGAAAATGTTGAATTCCATGACAAAAAGCTTTTGTGAAAAATTGGTATGACCCATCATTTGGGACAATGTAATAATCCGGGGAAATGAAATGCGGAAAGATGTGATCCAGTGATCGGGCTTTTCTGTTCACGAATACATTTTGTCAGAAGGGGACATGTTATATGTTTTTCATATTTTCATCACAACCATCCCCAATATACACGCACACGCCTTGGGAATCAAATGCCTGCTAAATGCTAGCTCCCTTGGAAGATACGTAGAATTAACTATAATTATTAAACTGAGACAATGTTGACACTTACCTGTCCTTCTGGGTCGTGTGTGACAGTAATGTCCCCACCCTTGCATATCATCCCGCCGAGAAACACCTAGGTAGAGATGAAGATGATCAATCAGTATTGTGAAACGAGTTAATGAGAAGCTTCATTGGCAATTAATGGCTATGAATCTTTTACCATAACCGACTAGACCAACCAAACTTCAGAAAATGTTAAAACATTTGAGATTTACGTAACTTCTAGCAACTGTATGGTTTATGTAACATAATTTAGATGGTGAATCTGGGAACTTCTGAGAAAAGTTGCATAACGGTTGAGAATTTGGAATTTAGTATGTTTCTATTAAAATATGATCATACTTTTAACGCAAGGTAATTTCGCTTGAGGCTTCACACCGGAAAGTGGCGTTATTACACACACACACACACACACACACACACACACACACACGTGGGGATATTACACACACACACACATCATATGCAGCACAATTCGTATGCTGCTACCTTCTATATATATCTGCACACACACAAACACACGTAACATGTCATGTTATCATCATATGCAGCACAATTCGTATGCTGCTACCTTCTATATATATCTGCACCCGTACAAACCTACGTAACATGTCAGGCTATCATATTATGCAGCACCATTCGTATGCTGCTACCTTATACATTTGCACATACAAACTTATGTAAGACGCCATGTTTTCATATGCAGCACTATTCGTATGCTGCTACCTTATACATTTGTACATACAAACTTATGTAAGACGTCATGTTTTCATATGCAGCACTATTCGTATGCTGCTACCTTATACATTTGTACATACAAACTTATGTAAGACGTCATGTTATCATATGCAGCACTATTCGTATGCTGCTACGCTCCATCTCTGTATCAATGTACCTGCCCGACCAGTTTAGGGTTTCTTGTGTCGGTGATGTCGTACTGTCGGATGTCCCCGTGGAGCCAGTTGCTGAAGTAGATGTATCGGTCATCGAGGGAGAGTATGATGTCAGTGATCAGACCTAGAAACAGGAGGAAGTCAGTGTGTAAAGTTATTATATGCCGACTTTAGATATAGTGAAGATGAACACCATGAGAGGGAGTGAAAATTGTTAAACTCAGCAACAGCAATTTTGCAGCTACTCGCGGCAACAAATGTGTTAAGTTTTAGGTCTTGGTAACAACAGAAAATACTTATTACAAACAAATATTTCTTTAAAGAGTAAAACTGACTGTTTTAGAAATGAATACCACGAAATGAGATGTATATATTTGAAAAGCATGCCATTTTGAGAAGTAAATACATCTTGTCATGCTGCACTAAATCTCTTTCTTTTAGAAGATCGATGATCTAATATCGTTCGATAACCATAGCAACTTATTTACTGCCGAAACAAATATACCCATGGAAAGGAATAAAGGAACACATGAAAGTACAAGTGTCTCTTTATCTATTCCCAGAATTTCACCCACAGTGCAATACATACCTTGTGAAGAAACCTGGAAAAGAATAAAGGAACACGTACTTTCATGTGTTCCCTTATTCGTTTCCATGAGTATATATACTCATGATACATACCTTGTGAAGAAACCTGGAAAAGAATAAAGGAACACGTACTTTCATGTGTTCCCTTATTCGTTTCCATGAGTATATATACTCATGATATAGTCACAATTGTACAATCGACTCTGCTTTAAGCAAACATTTCTTACGGGTGTGAAAAGGATTTTGTTGCTTCTATTACGCAATCTACTCAGCTTACATGTATGAAAACCAAAGATAAACCTATCCTTCACAATAAGAGATTGTTCTTCTTATACCACATTAATGCACAAGTAGCCGCTTGAATTACTATAGTCCGTTTGGCTCAAAAGCGGACCGATGAATTGCACCTGGCTGTCCCTCTGCACTCTCTGCACTCCTCCCTCGTAACAAACAGTGAACTGTGTCAATATGTTAATGATAGTTTGTTAAACAACTTTATTATTTTTTAGGACAAAAATTCTGCAAAAACCTCACAAGAGTTGGTATGATGTTTTGATTATGATCAGCGTTTCATTGAGTATTTTATGTTCATTAGTTTTCGAGTTAGATTGCAATTCATCGGTCCGCTTTTGAGCCAAACTGACTACGTAAACTTGCTGACTGGCTGCCTAAATGGCGTCTTGACCACAGTTACAGCAACCTGTTTACAGTAATATCGTGTAGGAGACTCAACGCTAGGTCGTGATGATTCAAGACGAATGACGTGCACATTAGGGAGCACTTTGCTTTATCATGTACACTGGAAATAATTATTACGACATTCCCACGTGCAATTTCACAATTACCTTTTCACACAGCTAGTAATTGAGTAATTGCCTGTTTTACACTGAGTACTACATGTAACTTTATCCCCTGTTATTTGTTTCGTTATGCTACAATGACATGTATGTGCGCTGTGCGAGAGATTCTGAACACTCGCAGCACTGTTCATGTTGACATATTGCATGCATTATGCACAAGAAAAATCCTCCACCATTCATACTATTTATAGGCATTCAGACCAAGGAGTGAGTGAGTGAGTTTGGTTTTACGCCGCTTTTAGCAATATTCCAGCAATATCACGGCGGGGGACACCAGAAACGGTACACATTGTACCCATGTGGGGAATCGAACCCGGGTCTTCGGCGTGACGAGTGAACGCCTTAACCACTAGGCTACCCCACTGCCCCTCAGACCAAGGAAGGCGAACGTAAAATTATTATTTCTTCTCCAGCGAACTTTGTCGATTCTACTTGTCGACCGAAATGTCACAATCACCCTGTCGTATAAGTTCAAAGGGACATTGTCATGAGTTTTAAGTCGATTTTATATGCCGGAAAACCCCCCAGGTTGGGCATAACATATCTGTTCCCCGTGAAGCGGCCAATACCGATGACCGTGAGTGAGTGAGTGAGTTTGGTTTTACGCCGCGTTTAGCAGTATTCCAGCAATGTCACAGCGGGGGACACCAGAAATAGGTATCGCACATTGTACCCATGTGGGGAATCGAAGCCAGGTCTTCGGCGTGACGAGCGAACGCTTTATCTTCTAGGCTTCTTAATACGACACTGGATTTGTGACCTAAATATATTTTATCTTTCGACTGAACTATGGGCCATGTGGCCTGAATTACGAAATAAACTTGATTGATTGATTGATTGATTTAATAAACTCAATAACATACCAGGCAGCTGTGGCAGCGCGAATCCCTCCACCGTCTTGCTGGGTATAGTGATCACCTTCTCGCTGTCCCATCTTCCATTCTGTCAATACGGTGCATAATATTGTCACAACATCTTGTATGTAACGGGAGAAAGATACAAATGTGTACGAATAGTGTTGAGCTGAAACTACCATACGAAGGCTATCCTGTCTTGACGTCAAATTAATTTTGAAATCTTCAATTTTAATTTTTTAACAAAAATGTTGAAATTTGTGGATACTCTTGATTGCAACCACATCATCGGGACTTTCTGGACCAAAGGATTTCCAGAATAAAAATTGGAACGATTTTTGAGGTACCGAACATGCAAGAAATATTTCTTAGCACCATATTGTTCTTACCCAAAAGTTAATTGATCATTATGGAAACGGTCTTGTCGCTTTATGCATTGCCAGTAAAAGCGTCGTGGGGAACTTACCGGAAGTTTGAAGAATCTGAATACTGTTGAGCTGAGCGCGCACCCCACGTAGCCCTCGGTGGTGTCAGGGTTGTGGAGAAACCTGATCTCCAGGGGGATCATTCCCTCATCTCCGAGGTCAAGTGTCTGGATACGCTCATGGGTTGTCCAGTCCCACACGTGAATACTGTGACCGTACAGACCTGCCACCAATCCATACAACACAATGTAAGTAAAGTTGCACGAAACATTACATCCTCGTCATGTGCCATATGATACTGTTATGTATTTGTCAGCCGGATAATGGCTGGTGCTTTGTTTGCAGTCCTCGCATACCTTGATTATTAAACCATGTACAAGGTAATAACAACGTGTCTTGGACGGTGATATCAATGAGATGTAAATGTGAATATGTCTTACAAGGACATATCAATGTGTTTTACATTATAATAACAATGGTTATTACACACAAGTGCCGTTGATGGAAATATCAGTGCATCTCCTATTGTAATATCTATCCGGCACTCATGTGAATTATCAATCTTCCACGTTACTACTGGTATGACTCACATGGTCAGGCGCGTAGCAAGGGATTTCTTTCGTGTTGGCCCGATAGGGTGCAAAGCTTTATGTTTAGATAGTATTGAGGGCTCATCCAACTTTCATAGACAAAATCATGTGTAAGCCCGGGCTTTTTTTATAATGGTAGCTACGCCCCTGGTGGTAGTATCAATGAGTCTTACGCAGTGTGTTTTACATGGACATGTCAATGTGTCTTATATGACAGAGGCCCAGATAAGCTGCGTATCCGGGTAAATTACGCATAGAAAATTCCCATTTACGCATTGAAAATAATTGTTCCGTACCAATTACGCATTTAAACTGTTAGATACGCAAAAAGTTTAAAACAAATGCGTACGGAATATATTTATAAAAATCGCTTGCGTAATGAAAATGACATCGATTGCTATGAAGTTGTACTGTTAGTATAGGGCAAGTGTTGTACTGTCAGTATAGGATGAGTGATTTCCATTATATTCAAGTTGGTTTTGATTAGGTATGACAAAAGGCAGAACATACCTGCTTAGTAAACTTACTCAATGACATAATACTTAGGTGAGTAAAATGACTGAAATACGCTCATATTTGAAAGCAGTGGGTAACGGAAATTGAAATACCCACTCAACATTCATAATACCCACTCCAAAAAAATACAGTGGTTACAGTACCCACATGAGCTAAATCTTATCTGGAGCTCTGTTATATGGTAATTGCTATGTGCAGTACATGGTAATAATAATATGTCTCACATAGGACTACCCACGTGTCTTGTATGTGTCTTATATCATAACAATATATCATAACATCAATGTGTCTTATATGGTAATTGCTATGTGCAGTACATGGTAATAATAATATGTCTCACATAGGACTACCCACGTGTCTTGTATGTGTCTTATATCATAACAATATATCATAACATCAATGTGTCTTATATGGTAATTGCTATGTGCAGTACATGGTAATAATAATATGTCTCACATAGGACTACCCACGTGTCTTGTATGTGTCTTATATCATAACAATATATCATAACATCAATGTGTCTTATATGGTAATTGCTATGTGCAGTACATGGTAATAATAATATGTCTCACATATATGGACTACCCACGTGTCTTCTATGTGTCTTATATCATAACAATATATCATATCAATGTGTTTTATATCAATGTATGTGCTTAATATGGTAGGACTATTGTGTATGTGCTTATATACATATATATATAATAATATGTCTCACATAGGACTACCCACGTGTCTTGTATGTGTCTTATATCATAACAATATATCATAACATCAATGTGTCTTATATGGTAATTGCTATGTGCAGTACATGGTAATAATAATATGTCTCACATAGGACTACCCACGTGTCTTGTATGTGTCTTATATCATAACAATATATCATAACATCAATGTGTCTTATATGGTATTATATGTGCAGTACATGGTAATAATAATATGTCTCACATAGGACTACCCACAATATCATAACAATATATCATAACATCAATGTGTCTTATATGGTAATATGAATGTGTTCTACATGGAAACACTCATGTGTCATATATGACAGACAGACAAGTTTATTCCGTAAAAGGCCACAGGTAACATCCATCTGTCTTACATGTTAGTACTATTACGTCTTACATGGTAATATGAATCTGTCTCACATAGGAAGAGCCGTGTGTCTTATATATATCTTACATCGTAACAGCAAGGTGTCTTACATGGCAATATCAACATAGTATACAACATAATATGTACAAGGTAAGGTCATCCTATATTACAAATTGTGAACGTCTTGACAGTGAATCTAACGCAGTGAGTGTGTGAGTCGGATTTTAACGTCGCTTTCAATTCTCGTTGTATTGATGCTACACGTGGGAGCATCTGAGATATTTGAACGTCTTTGGGAACCCAGGGGCTCTGGTCCGGTGCTGACAAACCTTGAAACATGATCGGAGCGATTCTGGATTCGAACCCACGATCAAAGCTATCTCGTGTGCATAACACCTGTAGCGTTATTTACGGCTAAAACCACCCCCTTGCATGGTATCAACAAAGAGTTAAATCATGATAACAAAATAGTCTACAAGGCAGTCCAAAAATATTTCATGATAACACGAGGGCGGTGGTGTAACCGAGTACTTAAAACGTTCGCTCATCACGCCACCTTGGGTATAAATGAGTTGCCAATTTCTCGTGTTCCCCGTCCAAATTATTGCTGGAAGATTACGCAAAGGCTGCGTCAAGCCATACTCTTTGCATGATAAGCTAAACGTTCTTACGGTAATGTGAGTGTACATGTTGTCAACATGTTATTTAATAGTGTTACTGTAATTGTGGAGATGCATGAGTATAACGGATGCTAAGGCAAAAAGATATCTTGAAACAGGTACAGGTACAGGTATATAAAAGCGTCGTTTCTCAGGGTTAGTCAGCCATATGGATTCCCTTTGCATCCTTACCTTGTTTCACGTGCTCGGGGTTGAATCCGGTTCTCCAAGCATTCGGAGCACCCCACTCAGAGCTGAGCATTACGTTGTGTCTTGGCTGGTACCAGAAGTCGTAGCCGTAGTCGGGGGCGGGGGAATTCTCCCACTTGCCGAGGACCCGGAAGTCGGTCCCGTCCAACAGAAAGAACCCACCTGGTATACGTGAAGGAATATACAATAACACAGGAGCCCAGTTAGATTGAAAGAAGCACTCGTAAAACCAGCAACTCGGTGTCGGTGAGACGCTGTTGTAATGAAAAATATTATGTTTGTTGTAGTGGTGGTCCGATTAATGAAATAATGGAAGATTGGTCGTAGTGACTAAACGACTAAGCAATCGATCATAATTTCTCATTATCGAACACAAACAATTCTGGAACACTTGTTTTCATTAACAATATTTGTCACATGGTTGGTTTTGTCTGTTACATTTCGTAAGCACTACAAGCTCGTTTCAAGTCATGATTGAATTTATCTTAAAGATTCCCAGAAATTTATGTTCCCAACATACTAGTCATCCTTTAAAGAGGCGAAATTTTGCCCAAAAAACCCTAAAAGAACTACATGTCTTTTTCCTTATTTGTATGTGCATTAACAATTTTCATAAATGACGCTAACCAATTATTTTCGATGATTGATCGGTAGTAATGAACCAATCATCAATTATGAGATTTGAACCAATTCCAAACACTAGTTTGTTGGTAGTTGGGTGATTCTTTTATTTATTTATTTATTTATTTACTATTTTCACGTTTAATTCAGGTACTCTCTTCCACAACACCCACCTGTACTCAGCAAAATCCCTGCCGTTTTACGGGTATCTGGTGTGTGATGCACAGTGTAGGTTGAAGTTATGCAACGTTGGTCACTGAGAATCCTTTACAGCTTGACTGAGAATATCATGGACTTCAGTCCTGTCCCACAACGAAGCACGCGTAACGCATGTGGTTTCATTGAGTTTGTTCAAAATTTCTGTTCACTCAGCAGTGAATGGGTACCCGGTGGGATAAGTCATATGACTGTTTACCTTCTAGCACCACACAGGCAAGTTATCCGATGAAATAATGTCTTAGCGCTTTGAGCAAGCAAAAGAGCGTGGGGTGCTTTATGAATACCCATTATTCTTATATTATCTCTTCATATAATGCAGCATCATATGAGAAGTGACCAACGCAATAATTTGGATACGAAAACATGCGTGAAACAAGTCACGTAGATGGCATCTTAAGACAAACATTGGTCCCCAAAGACGAATTATAAACCGAATCTATACTCAGGTGTGACTATGGCTGGCTGAAGACCAATTTTAACCCGGAACTTCAAGGAGCTAGAATATTGCCATGCAAGCAAAATATGTGATGTGATGTTTGTTTGTATGTCGTCTAACGCCGCACTCGGTAGAATATCAGCTCTTTGGTGGTGGTTTGTAAATAATCAAGTCTTACTAGGCAATCCAGTGATCAACAACATGATCATCCATCCACGGTTTTGGGTTACGATGACATGTGTCAACCAAGTCAGCGAGCCTGACCACCAGATCCCACTAGGTACCTCATATGACAAACATAAATTGCTGAAGACGGGTTCTAACCCGGATCTGTAACAGTACTGAATATGGTTTCAGGTAACACTGAATATACAGAGCCCGAACATCACTTACTATTTCCGTCTCCGTTCTGATTGCCAATGCAGCTGATCATGATGTGCCCAGACCCCAGACAATGGGTTGTGTGGGGAGCGCCGAGACCGGTCTTGGAGTGAACCTCAGAGGGCTGCACAATCTGTTACAATAAGGTGGACATTCTTTCTTTAAGAGTGAGTGAGTGAGTTAGAATTTAACGTCAGCTCGGCAATATTTCAGCCATATCGTGACGAGAAATGTTTTACATAAACAATTCTTTCTTTAAGATGTGATGACGGAGGGAATACCTACTCAATCACAGGGCATCTTTCAAACAACCACTTTCAGTGCCACTCGCCCTCAACACTCATGCGTAAAAGTTATTTTGTTATTTTCAAGAATTTTATTTTATTATTTAAATTATGGTAAATATATATGCGTTGAGACAGTTGAATAATATACCTTCAGCAGGTTGAAAGTTGATTTAGCGTCGCGCAATCAATAGTGAGTGATTAAGAGTTATCTATGCTTCACAATCGACAATATATTTGAACGAAGGCAAAACCGTGCCAACGCAAAGAAGCTTACAAAGTTAATGATGGTTTTGCCAAGGCTTATTTCAGTGACCAGACGTTTACGTTGATGACGCGTGCGTTACAGGGTATATGGGCGTGGTATTTAAGCATCTCTACCTTGTGAATTGACGGCCTCCTCGGGTCGGTGCCTGTGTCTACTATGTAGACTCTGTCACTGTTGATGCAGGGGAGCACCATCCGGTTCCGTGTTTTACTGCTGTCGTCATAGCAACTGGAGCAAGCGTTCCAACCAGAGTGATGAAGTTCATCAGCAACGTAGGGCATATATAGACGGTGGATCACCTGCAAGGTATAGGAGGACATGTCTTCATTAGCATGTCTTCATTTAAACTACTGCAGCATCTTCTGAGTAGGTAGGTGCATCATTAATACCATAATTTAACCTGATGAAGTTCATCAGCATCTATGAGGGCATATATAGACGGTGGATCACCTGCAAGGTATTTCAGGACATATTATGGGACATATCTTCATTAGCATCCTGAATACTGCAAATGTGTTGAAACTACTGCAGCACCTTCTGGGTAGCTACGGCCCTAGTATGGTGATCTACCTTCAGTTGTTGGCGATCTATAGCCCGTATTTTATATTGTATTGTCTACTTTGATTGGAATATTTTAACTTTGCTCGCTAGTTTTATATTTATATCTGTGATTCTCTTGTCTTTTTACTGTCCTTCGTCGGCAGGTTTTTTAAAATATACATATATTTCATTTCAATATCAAATGTTCTCGTCACGATATGGCTGAAATATTGCCGATGTGACGTTAAATATTAACTCACTCACTCACTCACTCTGGGTATCTACAAGCATCATACATGCCATAATTTAACACAATGAAGTTCAGCAGCAACGTAGCACACATAGAGACAGTATTTGACATATTTTCTAGATTATCCTGAATACTGCAAATATTGTAACTATAGTAGCCTATCCTGAGTAGCTATTACTAATACCATAATTCAATGTGCCGCAAAGCATGAAGCTACATTCTACGTTACAGTTCAATCCCCCCAAAATGTAATTGTTGTTTTACCCCAGGATCTAAATATTTCACCTGTGTCTGCTATTAGAATCTACACCAGCCGCACAAGTGGTGGTTGTAGCCGGAAAACAATTATACCATTTCGCCGCGCCAATTAAGTCCTCCCCAGCGCAAGGATATTCTACTTGGGACCAACTATTCTAACCCGCCGGGAGAGGAACAGGTCACTTCCCAGGTCCACATTACTATTGCAGCCAGGCGTTACTTATTATAAATTTAGGGGCGGTGGGGTAGCCTAATGGTTAAAGCGTCGGCTCGTCACGCCGAAGACCCGGGTTCGAATCCTCACATGGGCACAATGTGTGAAGCCCATTTCTGGTGTCCTCCGCCGTGATGTTGCTGGAATATTGCTAAAAGCGGCGTAAAACCAAACTCAGTCAGTCAGTATTATAAATTTACATATTTAAATAATATACACTTTTCTATAATATATGTATATGGATGTTAGTATATTGCATTAATTTACTTTAATTAAATATAAGAATTTGGATCAACCGGAAAATACTTTAATGATCTAAACTTGAAAAATGTGTTTTCCTACCGAGGATTGTGACAATTGTTCGCAGTGCCTATGAGACTTAAATCTAAAAAAATCAACATGTTTCATGAGAAAACAGTTGACTGTTAACAGCCTTACCATTCACACACAATTCTGTGACATTCTATACCATTCAGGAGCGGGGTTATAATATGGCCAAACAAAAATATGGCATATTTTGAATTTCTAGGATCAGGTCAAACCAGACAGGAATTTTGAAGGAATGATGCCACACCGGCATCCCCTGTGCGTGTTTGTGAAAAGGGTCAGTAACCTGCTGTTTTACGAGCGGAAATTCCGACAAAACACGCTTGTGATCTGATATCTGTTACGAATACATATTTGGTAAGTCTACACTTAATTGCTGTACGCAAGACTAAGGAATCCTAGAAGGGCCATTGTCGCTGTGTCGCCCTTTCTAAAACAAGCACAAAGTGGCACAATTAATGAGTGCGACAATGTGTCCCTACCAGGCTTTCATACAAGATTGTACTGAGGAATAGGGGTAGACAGTTGGAATTACACAGTCAGACAAAGCCTGAGCAAATCCTGTTCAATGAGGAAAATACTTGAAGGAACATTAAAACAAGTGTCATCTGCAGTTTTCTGAAAATACAATATTTGAAATGCCGGACTTCCTCATAGAAAATACCTGTGAAATGTAGGACGTCCTCAGAGATAGCAACAATGTGAAATTTGGTAAGATAACACATTTATGCAACAACACACACCTCATTTGGCACTAATGTGGTTCTCTGGAAAGTATTTTATTTAGATCTTTATATATGGCTGTGTTTCAGATGATAACGTCGGACTGTCGAGGCTCTGTGCATCACGAACAACACATTTCAGTGTTAGTATACATTACACGACACCGTTTCATTGCAAGCAGTTTACAGAAATTACTGAAATGATGCTCTGAATTCCAACGTGTATGTCCCTGGGGTACGTTTACATCAAGCCTTATTGACCACTTGGTTGGTTTTGTTGGTTGGTTTGCACTCGGCAATACTCTAGCTATGTGGCGGCGGTGTGCAAATAATCGAGAATTGACTAGAGAATCCTGTGATCATCATGAGCATTGGTCTACACAATTGGGATGCGATGAGGTATGTCAACCAAGTCGGCGTGCCTGATCACCCGATCCTGTTAGTTGCCTCTTATCACAAGCATGGGTTGCTGAAGACCAATTCTAACCCGGATGTTGGTTTGACCACCTGGAAAACACCACCAGATGAGAATAGGTGTGTGTGTGTAGTTGGGAGGGGGAGATATGTTGATGGTGGATGATTGGAGGTGGACTCCATGGGATTTCAACATTAAGGCATTACCTGGCAATATGTTGGCGATTCAGGATCCACGTCGACTGTAGATAGGTAGTCGGGACGATCCTTCTCGGGAATAATGCACGGGATGTACACGAGCCTCTCCCGGGGACCTTTCATAGCCTCCAGGGGCGTGGCATAACCTGGTCCCTTGCAGCATTCTACAAGAATAAAGCACCCGTCGTTATTATTTCAGCCAAAGTAAAATGTACATGTCCCATAACAGTGGATAATTCAATCTCCCCGCTGGGCGGAAGGCAAACCTGATACCTTGAGCCTTATCACACAGGGGCATCAGCTTCTGTCTCAATAATCACTATAAAATAAAATCTCGTTAATTCATGCAGCTCAATAGATTATTAATACAATGTGACCGTGGTGTATGCTTCTTTGTAATGTTATAATCAGATCATGTTGAGGTCGACGTCGACAGAGGCGGTGGGGTAGCCTAACGGTTAAAGCGTTCGCTCGTCACACTGAAGGTTCAGGTTCGACTCTCCATATGATACAATGTGTGAAGCCCATTTCTGGTACCCGATGTTGTTGGCATATTACTGAAAACACTCACTCGACGTCGACATGTAACACTGCGTCCCTAAGCAGTATAAGTGATATCATTTGTCCACAACACTAATAGTCATAGTCCATTAGGAGGTTGTTTAAATTTTGAGTTTTCGAAAGAAAACAGTTTAATTCAACCTTAGCATATATTTATGATACTTGCACGTTGCATTTTGTGAGAAACAGGCCACAGTAGGGAGCATTTCTGGAATGTAGGGTTTCCAGAATTAAAATGTGACGTGTCAATTCACTGAGGGAAACAGGTATGGAATCGTTGAAGGGACATTGTGGGGTAGTTGCCTAACAAATACCAACAAACCACAATCCATTATCTGTACAACAGGTCACATAATACCCTTTTGATCATTTCATGTTGCTTTTTCAATGTTTGTAATTTAATGACAGTGCGCCAGCCTAGAAACGTCTTTTCATGGATATTGCGTTCGCGGTTCCTTTGTAGTCGTTTCGCAGACTAGTTAGTCATTGTTCGTGAGGTTTTATCATTCGAACTTAATGTTCTCCACCCTATATAACAAACAGAACCTACGCTTTAACTACTTTTGAATAGTCGTGACTATATGTGTTGTACTATCCCACAGTAACTGCAGCTATCCGGTGTTCAACTAACCGTCTTCAATACGACATTCAGATCAGTGAGATCAGCCGACAGCTTAGCTATTCCTGCGGCATGTTCACTACAGCAATCCGGTCTCCTACTGCCCTTCAATACTAGCTGAAGTGGGTGTGTTACGCGCACAACACCTTGCCCGTCCACAACACTGAGGGGTGTCAGCTTGATAGGTCACGTCCTTAATCGTCTCTTTGTCATCCATACATCACAGTCACTGCAGGAAGTTTAGAAATACTATCTCTCTACAATACAGTACTGGAATGTGTCTTGATCGACCAGTACTACATCCCTTCAACATATTCACTGTAGCAACCCGATCTCCAGCTATCCTACGATACAACACTACTTGTTCGGCCTGTACATTATCCATCTATGTACCACCCTTACAACATAATCACTGTAGCAATCCGATCTCCAACTATCCCTTCAACATAATCACTGTAGCAATCCGATCTCCAACTATCCCTTCAACATAATCACTGTAGCAATCCGATCTCCAACTATCCCTTCAACATAATCACTGTAGCAATCCGATCTCCAACTATCCCTTCAACATAATCACTGTAGCAATCCGATCTCCAACTATCCCTTCAACATAATTATCACTTGTAGCAATCCGATCTCCAACTATCCCTTCAACATAATTACTGTAGCAATCCGATCTCCAACTATCCCTTCAACATAATCACTGTAGCAATCCGATCTCCAACTATCCCTTCAACATAATTCCACCCTTCAACATTGTAGCAATCCGATCTCCAACTATCCCTTCAACATAATCACTGTAGCAATCCGATCTCCAACTATCCCTTTAAACATAATGTAGCAATCTGATCTCCAACAATCCACTGTAGCAATCCGATCTCCAACTATCCCTTCAACATAATCATCTCCAACTGTAGCAATCCGATCTCCAACTATCACTACAAGCAATCCGATCTCCAACTATCCCTTCAACATAATCACTGTAGCAATCCGATCTCCAACTATCCCTTCAACATAATCACTGTAGCAATCCGATCTCCAACTATCCCTTCAACATAATCACTGTAGCAATCCGATCTCCAACTATCCCTTCAACATAATCACTGTAGCAATCCGATCTCCAACTATCCCTTTAACATAATCACTGTAGCAATCCGATCTCCAACTAATAATCACTGTAGCAATCCCATCTCCAACTATCCCTTCAACATAATCACTGTAGCAATCCGATCTCCAGCTATCCTACAATACTACACTACTTGTTCGGCCTGCACCTTACCCGTCTATGTACCACCCTTACAACATAATCACTGTAGCAATCCAGTCCAAAATTCATCAGCCTCGTATAATGTGCACTGTAGTTCATGAAGGTGAGTTGTTAAAAAAATGCGGTGAACTGTTTTAGGGTCAGTCATTGTGTAACTTTATCCTGAATTAGGTCGGTGTAAGTGCCTTACATAAAGGTGTTACACAACCGAACGACGGTATCATGGTGACATTATCTTCTCTCGAAGGACCTTATCAACAGGGCACCGAGACCCACCTTGTCATCACGTGATGTACTATGTGCAACGTGACTCACACAGGTTAATGTGTCAAGTCCCACTTGTTTCAACAGATTTAAGCTCCAGGAACTCTTATCATAACAAAATGTAATATACAGCCACACCTTCATGAAAATGTATTTCTTAATACATCGTGTTTGGCTTTTGATAACGCTGTTACTCAGCAGTAATGGATCTTTATGAGAGCTATTTGCAGATAATGAAGACTGACACTGACGAACCAGTGACTGACGTCATGAGCATCGACCTACGCGTTTAGGTAGACTGAAGGATAGTCGGAAAATATAACGCTAGCTCTGTATAAACTTTATATAATTTGACAAAAAGCCCAAGTGAGATTATAGATTGACCTGAAAGTGAGATTGTTGACTGACCTCATATAAATCTAGACTTGCTTCATTTACGGCTTTGGCATTACACACAGTGTTAGATGGAAGGGACAACCATACGGTACGGGCACTGTGAGACATACGTCGACCAAGCTAGCAAGCCTGAAGTCACGAACCCTTGACGACAATTATGAGTTGCTGAGGACCAGCATGGTTCTTTATACTGGTCTATACAGGACTCGTCATATAAATCTGATCAATTCAAACAATACGCACCTGATGTAAGACGTGAATTATTAAATACATGTATGTATCCAGAACGATTTACATATGTAAATATGGTATCCATATGCAAGCCTGAAGGCACGGACCCTTAACGATAATTATTAGTTGCTGCGGACCGGTATGGTTCTTTTCACTGGTCTATACATGACTCGTCATATGAATCTGAACTGTTCAAGCAAGACGGTGTAAGACTTGAATTCTTAAATATGAACCCCGAACGATTTGAAAACACAAAGATGGTATACAAATGCTCGGCGTGATCACTTATGCATGACCAGAGCAAAATAATTGCTGTAGTACATGCACACTTAGTGGGTTTAATGCCACTTGGTACAGCAGTCCCGTAATATCGTTGCGTGTCAACTTGCTCTGAAAGTCATCTGAGAGCACTAGATCATTTTCTCTGCGGCACCGCCCGTCTAAAACGTACTGAAACGCTATACCAACACACCGGCTGAAGCGAGAAATTGTTTTAACTGTAAAGATTGTGTTGAGGACGAGTATCACGTTTACTACATTGCCCATTATATCCCGATTATCGTTCAGCTTTGTTTCATCGACCCGTGAAGATCCGGGTTGGAATTGATCTTCATTAACCCATGCTTGACGTAAGAGGCGACAAACGGGATCGGGTGGACAGGCTCCCTGACTTGGTTGACACATTTCATCCGTTCCCAATCGCGTAGATCGATGCCCATGCTGCTGATCACTGGATTGTCTTGTCCAGACTCGATTATTTACATCCCGCCGCGATATCGCTGGAATATTTCCTAGTTCGGCGTAAAACTAAAATCACTCACTCACTTTGTTTTATCAGTGTAAATCTGTGATTAAAAATGTTCATACTGATGTTGAAAAAATGACATGCCCAGACGTTGTTTATTATACTGCCAAAACATGCAAACTTGTTTTACAGAAGATGAGGGCTTTATTGACAATTAATACATTGGTATTCATCTTTTGTGCATTTTATTCATTTGATTTTATATACAAATGTAATTTATTATTTTATTGTGACGCATAACCCATTTTGGGAGGCTGACTTTTTATCAATATGCGATTTTAGGCTTTTGTACCATATGTATTTTATGTATAAATTGGTAAATTATCTGTCTGTCTGTCTGTCTATCCCCGAAGGGATGCAGTATAAGACGTTTATCACATTAGTGAAGCTCACGAGAGCGAGTGTGGTGCTCACAAACCTAAAAACATGTTCATGGTGAACCGGAATTCGAACAAAAATAATTACTTCCTAACGTTTCCACGGGACGCAACTCTGCTCAGCTAATTGCGGTGCCTTAGACGGGATGTACGGTCAACAATTCTATTCAACTTTTCAAGTGCAACTGGGGAGTAAGGCGGGATGGAGCCATTCCGAACTTTAAAACATTTTATGCGCACTGAGTTAAGTTAATTTATAAATGCAAATATCCTTAAGAAAAAGATTACTTACTCAATCAAATAAACCCTTTGATCTACTTGATATGTCTCATTTGTCGAATAAATTTTGACCTCGTTTAATTTCAATAAACTAAAGCGTGATGAGAATTAAGATATAACCCAATAACAAGTCAATTTCAGATTCGCCTGAATGGACAAAGTAGAGTAAAACCAGGAAAACCCCGCAGTTGAAATCTTAAAATGACACCTATTGTTGCTGCACCGCCACAGATATACTTGCATTGCCTCTGCAGTCCTCCAATGTTACCATTCTAACCCACCTTTGTCCCCCCGACCCCCATCCACCCTAACCAAACGGTCCTTTCAAACCTACATCCCCTAACCATTTTCATTGCCTAAGTTATACAAATCACCATACATTATTCTCCTATCAGTCTCAATATAAAACGATGCACCCGTTGAGATCCGGGTTAGAACTGGTCTTCAGTAACCCATGCTTGTAAGAGGCGACCAATGAGATCGGGCTGTCAGGCATGTTGACTTTTTTTTAGATCTATGTTATTACTGTTGATCACTGGATTGTCTCGTCCAGATTCGATTAATTACAGTCCATCAATATAGTTGGAATATTGCTGAGTTCGGGGTAAACAAAGTTCTTTATATCGATAATGTAGATAAGTGCCAACTTATTAAAGATTTAACAGCACTCAAAAGTTCTATTAGCGTTGGTAGTTAGTCGTTCATAAACGAAATATCACTTAGACACGCAGTTCATGCATTCCATGCATTCCGTGCATTCCGTGTCTACCAACTAGGCTGTGGTCGCTGCAAGTCTATACAACAACACGACAACTGTGCTTCAGCTTATTGAGATATGAAAATATTTCATGAGCCGACAGGGTCCCGCATATCTCGTCAATTGTGACTCGGCATGTATACCAAGCTTGAAAAATAGGTCACGTTTTCGCCGAACTTCCCTTCTCGCAACAAGTTCTCGATGTATAAGCAAACCGTGTAGATTCACATACATATACAGCCCTGTTTCATGGGATCATCGGTTTGTTTTATTCACATCTAAAAAGAAGGTGATAGGTTTATTGTCAGAGCAATAAATATACATATTTAGAAGCACACTTTTAGCTGTGTCATGACCCAGGCTGATCGACAAACTGTTTACCGTAAGCGGATATCGAGGGTCTGTATGGGGGTAGTCGTTACTCAACAACTGGATACGAAGAAGTAACTTTTATCGTATTTGGTCAACAGATACATAATATTATATATTTTACGGCCGTAATATCTATATCACATTTGATAGTCAACTACATTTCGCTCTTTTCGCAATGCTGTAGAATGTTTTCTTACTGTATTAGGTGATGAGGGAAATATTGTCACGTTCAGTATTAAAATTGATTTCATACAGACAGAAAGACACACGCACATATACACACAAAAACACACATGCACTAACACCCACACGCACAACCAACATGAACACACACAACAGAAAAAACACGTAAAAACACGCGACGCCCTTTCCTGATAAATAATATCAAGTACCGACCTGAGGCCACATGTGTCTGTATGTTGCATCCTCCACTACCATTTCGTAACACTGTCTGCAGCTGCTGCAGTCGTTGTTCAGCCTGTTCCGTCATCGTGGAGCTTCCTACTGAATGACAACGAGCCGAGCCAGCCTAGGGTGTCGCCTTGACCTTTTCATTCAAACGTGCAGACTAAATCGAGGGGTCATCTCAAAACCCTGCTGGTGATCCGGTCACACATACGGGTAATTGAGAACGTTCGTTCGTTCTTTTGATTTAGAGGTCAAGTATCGTTGGAATTATTGCCCCTATTGAGAAAATTACAAAAAATTCATTGTCATCACCATAACTGCCATTCGTCGATTTAAATGTAAATGTACTCTATCGTTCTCTTAGGATGGAAAACTACTGATAAATATTTAATTCTTCATGAAAAACCTTGACGGAGCAATGAAGGATAAACTGATAGCAAGAACATTGATAGACATGAAGCCTTATCAGACAAGTCACGTTCTTTCTCCGAGAGCAAGATTTATCAATTCCCGAGGCATGTACAGTTGTAAATATACGTCAAAAGTTGAAGGAATTAATTTTGCTGTAATTTCTTTTCAGCAGCATCGCAACGCTGAATGCGGCATCATTGACTGCGGTCCCACGGTTCTCCCTACCCCCGTACACAAATGTCGTTTATGTTATGGTGCGATTACTTTTCAACATTGAGTTCATGATGTTCAAAGGTCAGGGTGGTTAATACAAGTTAGATAACAACAGTCGGGTTACTGTTCCATTGCCGCCATGACCATTTTGTAATACATGACATATACATAATATACATAATATAGTACACACCTGGTGTTAGTATTTAAAAATAATCGGACTGACAAGTCAAAGACATTGTGTTCATGTTGCCAAAACACATCTGCTTTCTGAGATTTCTTATGATTATGGATCATAAGATGTTTTGATATAGGTAACACATCTGCCTTTACCCTAAGGATGTGTCCTCGAACAATTCAACGCTGGCATATGGAACTAGACTTCAGTAATTCTTTATTCTTCATCGCCTTAAAGGCACTATTCCACACCACACTTCTATAAAATAAGTGGTGGTGGTGGAATTGGGTTTAACGTCGTGCTTGAGAATATTTCGCTCATATGACGACGTGCATGCGTGTGTATGTGTATGTGCGGCTGCTTGTACTAGGCCAGACTGAAGCTGGTTTTATAGTGCTAGCCCACTGAGATACCATGCCGCAGTGAAGCATGAATACCCCACTCAGACACATTATACTGACTCCGAGCCGACCAGTCCTTGTTGTACCCATTAATGCCGAGCGCCAGGCAGGGACCAACAAGTGCCATATTTTAACGTCTTTTGGTATGACGCGGTCGGGGATCGAACCCGCGACCTTCCGCACTCTGGGCGGACGCTCTAACCACTACACCACGGAGGCAGTCTCTATAAAATAAGTAAATTAAATGCATTTGTCTCAATAATACTAATCATACTTAGCCCCCCAGGGAAGGTACTATATAATTTAGCTGGGCATCCGAAATGTCAATCACAATAACTCATACAGTTGAGACATCAGGCTAGCTTAAAATCATATTGGTTATTTATGCCATTGTAGTCAGAGCTGCTCTGGCTCATGGAAAATTATACCATACTCGTTTTCACTGCTTCGTATACAATTCCTTAGGTTAGTGAGTGAGTTATTATTTAAAGTCACATCGGCAATATTGCAGCCATATCGTGACGAGAACACATTTGACATGGAAATGGAATATATGTATATTATAAAAACCTGTCGACGAAGGACAGTAAAACAACTAGAATATCACAATTAGAATTAAAAATAGCGTGGAAAGTTATAACTAATAGCACTATTTGGACAACACAATATAAAAACGGGCTATAGATCGCCAACAACTGAAGGTAGATCACCATACTAGGAACCATGGGGACAATTCCTTAGGTTAGGTGGAACTACTGGGGCTGCGTCATGGCCGACAACATAACCTTTATTGATAAGGAACGTCCCAGACAAACAATATACTCGCACCATAAACATATCTAAATGTATTCCTAAAATCATATGTAAGTCCGTGTATAATGTTTCAAATGATTTCTAGAACAATGTTTGAGTTTTCACGTTCACGGCTGGTTAGAACACGTAGAACACCACCTTTCGATTTGGCAAATAAAGTTTCGCCTCCTCAAAAATATGTTTTCGTGTTTGGCCACATAAAAAAAAAGTTTTTTGGTTTGGGTTTTTTAATATTTTATTTTCATGAAACCAAAGTATTCCATCATAAACGGTCGTTACATAATGACAAATACAAATACATGAACATAATCAGATATCCAACATACCAGGATGTAAGATAGTTAGACCAGTGAAATATCAGCCTGTATAGGGTGTTGTATGTAGTGCCACATCCAACATATCATGTTTTATATAGCGCAACATGCAGCATGGAGTGATGTATATAGCGTCATATGAGACATAGCATATTGTATATGGGGCCACATCCAACATATCATGTTTTATATAGCGCAACATGCAGCATGGAGTGATGTATATAGCGTCATATGAGACATAGCATATTGTATATGGGGCCACATCCAACATATCATGTTTTATATAGCGCAACATGCAGCATGGAGTGATGTATATAGCGTCATATCAGCCTTAGCATATTGTATATGGGGCCACATCCAACATATCATGTTTTATATAGCGCAACATGCAGCATGGAGTGATGTATATAGCGTCATATGAGACATAGCATATTGTATATGGGGCCACATCCAACATATCATGTTTTATATAGCGCAACATGCAGCATACAGTGATGTATATAGCGTCATATCAGACATAGCATATTGTATATGGGGCCACATCCAACATATCATGTTTTATATAGCGCAACATGCAGCATGAAGTGATATATATAGCGTCATATCAGACATAGCATATTGTATATGGGGCCACATCCAACATATCATGTTTTATATAGCGCAACATGCAGCATGAAGTGATGTATATAGCGTCATATCAGACATAGCATATTGTATATGGGGCCACATCCAACATATCATGTTTTATATAGCGCAACATGCAGCATACAGTGATGTATATAGCGTCATATGAGACATAGCATATTGTATATGGGGTAACATCCAACATATCATGTTTTATATAGCGCAACATGCAGCATGGAGTGATGTATATAGCGTCATATCAGACATAGCATATTGTAAATGGGGCCACATCCAACATATCATGTTTTATATAGCGCAACATGCAGCATACAGTGATGTATATAGCGTCATATCAGACATAGCATATTGTATATGGGGCCACATCCAACATATCATGTTTTATATAGCGCAACATGCAGCATGGAGTGATGTATATAGCGTCATATGAGACATAGCATATTGTATATGGGGCCACATCCAACATATCATGTTTTATATAGCGCAACATGCAGCATAGAGTGATGTATATAGCGTCATATCAGACACATAGCATATTGTATATGGGGCCACATCCAACATATCATGTTTTATATAGCGCAACATGCAGCATGGAGTGATATATATAGCGTCATATGAGACATAGCATATTGTATATGGGGCCACATCCAACATATCATGTTTTATATAGCGCAACATGCAGCATGAAGTGATGTATATAGCGTCATATCAGACATAGCATATTGTATATGGGGCCACATCCAACATATCATGTTTTATATAGCGCAACATGCAGCATGGAGTGATGTATATAGCGTCATATCAGACATAGCATATTGTATATGGGGCCACATCCAACATATCATGTTTTATATAGCGCAACATGCAGCATACAGTGATGTATATAGCGTCATATGAGACATAGCATATTGTATATGGGGCCACATCCAACATATCATGTTTTATATAGCGCAACATGCAGCATACAGTGATGTATATAGCGTCATATGAGACATAGCATATTGTATATGGGGCCACATCCAACATATCATGTTTTATATAGCGCAACATGCAGCATACAGTGATGTATATAGCGTCATATGAGACATAGCATATTGTATATGGGGCCACATCCAACATATCATGTTTTATATAGCGCAACATGCAGCATACAGTGATGTATATAGCGTCATATGAGACATAGCATATTGTATATGGGGCCACATCCAACATATCATGTTTTATATAGCGCAACATGCAGCATACAGTGATGTATATAGCGTCATATGAGACATAGCATATTGTATATGGGGCCACATCCCACATATCATGTTTTATATAGCGCAACATGCAGCATTCTTTGAATCTTTATTTTCTTTGTAGTGGAGGCCATAGGCCCAGGTTACACTTCAGGATTTCAGAGCGGTACATATGTGCATATATAGTTTAGAAGACAATAAGTTAATTTACAAAGTATACAAAAGGAAGTATGATATTATTGTCAAAGAAGTGAATCTCTAAGTTTCATTGCATTGTGTATATAAATAGCTAGGTTTCTTACAGTATATGGATTGCCAGTTGACATGAGCATATTGAACTTATGAATAGTGGGATTCGAATAAAAGTTATGTGGTAAATACAAACATCTCAGATTTTGATAACATTTACATACCAAAATGAAATGGAATTCATTTTCAATAAAGTTATCTTTACATACAAAACATAATCTATTTGATCTGGGTTGATTAATATAGCGACCGGTTTCAATTTGGAGGCGGTGTGAAGAACATCTGAATTTAGCAAGGGCCGATCGGAATTTTGAAATTGATAAGTCTTTTATGTAAAATTCAACATTAAATGAGATTTTAAAACAAGAATAAAGTGAAAATTTAGGACTATTTAAAAGCGATGTGTGCCATTCTTGTTCATAACTTGCTCTTAATCTAAAAACAAATTCTGATATGAATTTATCGACATTACATAAATTTTGCTGCTGTTCCCACATAAAGCCAAATCCAAAGGAGTAAAGAATATTCTTAATTTTTGATGCCCAGTTTGTTTTACCATTTACAGAGTCTAAAACTAACATGTTATAACATTTCTTTACAAATCTGGAATCGGGCATTTTGCATATTTTACACCAATATTTAACAACTTTTTTATACATACATACATACATTGGATAACGGCCACATTCTCCCCTA